TAACTTCGTTCAGAGAATCGTTTGGCAGATTTTGAATGCAGATTTGAAATTAGCGTCAAAAAATACGTCTAGCAGTACAGGTCCCATTTCAAATGGCCACTTCGACTTGGGATCCTTCCCTTGTAAGCCGTTTCTACTGCCCGTCTCCCAGCAAGGATGGTTTTGCAGTGGGCAAAGCGATACCAGCTCCGATTCGCAGAAGATTTCGCGAAAATAGCACAAATCTGCAAGCATGAGCAAAAGCATGAAAAAGGAAAAATATTTTTTGATGCATCTTCCAGCCTCAGCGGGTGAAAGTGTATTTTTCGCAATAAATTTTATGAGGGTGTGCTTCGTTGCGCGCGTCCGTCGAAAGTAGGCCGCGCCGCAGCCGTCGCACGCAGCACGTCAGCCAGCGGTTCTTGACGAATGTCGCAGTTTTCAGTGGGGCATACGACTTAAGCTTGAACGAACTGAAGAGAAGATAACACGAACTAGTGCAAATCATTCGCTCCACTGACACTTAGTGATACAGTAATGCCACCTCGATGTCGTGGGTATGGGTGAATTCGTGCGTCCGGAGATATGCGCGTCAAGTTGCGCAGCGAAATTCATGGTACTTCTGACTACTGTGCCGCCCACCATTGTGTCACAGGTTTAAAACAAAGAAAATTAACCCATTGCGGACCGCGTGCTGCACATGGTGCCGCCTATGCGTGCTCGAGTTTTGGTCCAGAATCACGCTAGAGTTTGAATCAAGTTCGAACAGCATGTACTTTGCGATTCCCTCAAAAAACCGCTCTGCGTGTCGTACGCCGCTAGTCGTTCAAATCGCCACGAATCTCGCCGCGCGCATCTCCGGATGCACGAAAGTTCCGTCCACCGAGATCGCAAAGAGTTGTGCCGCGCGTGAAGTGGGTTGGTGACCTAGTTTCAACGTAGGCGCTGAATGGAATTCCCTCTTTGCAACACATCTTCAGAAAATCGTGAAATGGGCTTCAAACATTCCTTTTGAGGTTTTTGTTTTCTGAATTATGCGACACTTCTTTGATTGCATTTCAAAACATGTGTTGAATGCAGTCATTCTAAACCACATTTGGTAATGTGTATCTACTGGGGTTCCGGGACTTGCTATAAACACTCAGATTTCAGGAGAGTAATGGTGAGAAATGCTCTGCGAAAATGTTCATTATGCAGCCAGACTCACTTTCATGAGAACAAATTCAAGAATTAGTGTTTTCTTCAGGAAATCAAGGTGTAAGGCCTCATATATGCTCACGTATGAAGAAAAATTGCTTACGATTTTCTTTTTCTCGCCGCTTTCATCAAACGGATCTTCATTTGGCGTACGCTTTTTGACGATTTTTTTCACCGTTTTCACTTTTTTCGGTGGAGGGAGTGGCGGCAGAGTGAATATGCGAGTAACCGGAACGATCCACAATGAAAAGCTACTAGACTCATCTACCTGCAACACAACTGTTTTGAGTATACACTACTTCACACACATTTTACATCGAAGGTCAAGTGTGTAGTGACACATGGCAGGACAAAAGATGTCGTGCTCCCTATGAAATCACAAGGGCTCCGACTTTTGATTTGAATTATGTCTTTGGAACAATACAGAAACAAAGTACTCGATGAAACATCTGTATGATTGTGATGGGGGAAGAGAAGATGTAAAAGATGTAACGCATTTCAAAGAATGTGATCAAATCCGACACTTCGCCTTCAGTCATTTTCCTAGAATATGTAACACTTATATAAATTCAAACCGATTCCGGCGGTGAGCTAATCTGAGACGATGGCTCAGTGGAGTCCGGTGTGTCCTCACGACGAGTCGAGATTGGTGGCGAGTTAGAGCACAAAAGGTGGTAGATCGCTTGACCCTTAAAGACCAGAATTCATACATTTGTTCGATAATTTCAAATGATTTCCGAATAAATACAGCGAAATTCAGGAAAAACAGCCTATAAGAAGTTCCACGAAGAGCTATGCTACAAAATGCATAAATTTCACCCGCAAATGTTCTCCCTCGTAAAAGTAGCATAAGAAAAAGTGAAGAACGATTTTCGAATAACAGTTTATCGACATAATGTTATTATCCTACTATTTATAACGCACTGAGTGTGTATGTGTATGTATGTGTGGGTATGTGTGTATTATGTGCATGTGTATGTGTATGTATATGTGCATGTATATGTATGTGTATGTGTATGTAAGTATGTGTGTGTATGTGTGTGACTGGGAATTCATAACTTCTGTTCCCATAGATGCAGAAGGTTCTAACTTGGCAGGAGTATAGGCGACATGATGAAAACTTATGGTGGGAGGCAGGCCTAGACTACATATTTCCACAGGGGTGGAGCGTAAACGAAAGTTGTTGATTTGAACCTAGAGGGTTCGCCCATCCTTACTTTTGTATAAAGCGTTCGCGACTGTCCATTCGTCTGTTTGTTTGTACTAAAATTCGATATGACCCAAAGAAGCACCTGCAGAAGTCGGGTCAAATTTGGAACAGGTTGAACATAGAACAAGACCAGCGGAGCATATATGAGCTCAACGGGGCTCCGCTCACAGAGGGCCGGCATACTCGATGGTGGGCGATGTTTTAGACAAAATGTCGGAATTAGGCTTCATAACAGCCTAGACGCCGGGAAAAAATGGGCTCAGGTGAGGGATGGGTCAGCAGGTGAACAGAAGGGGAATCACTAACGGTGGGCGGAGCTTTCTCGCCCACCTAAGACCATAACTCGATTCAACGGAAGCGCGTAGGAAACAAAAAAAAAACAAATTGAGCAAGGGCTTGTGCGTGCTGGGCATGCGTAAATATGTCGAAGTTCCGCCCATAATGAGCGAAGTGTGCATTCGAATGTTAGGTACTTCTTAAAAAGTTCATGACTCTGTCCAAAAACTGTTCAAACGTTCAATAACATGATAAAACCTTCTATAATGTGCAAAGTAAGAAGTTAGAGGCTATAGAAGAAATGCGGTCAAATCCTTGCATTGAGGTAGGAGGGGCTAAGAAAAAAATTCATAACTTTCCAAAACGCGCTAAAGAGTGTTTGGAGGTATGGAAGGAGTGTGGCCAAATCTATGGAGTGAGCAGCTTCGCGCTAAGGTGGGCGTTGCATAAAAAATTCATAACTCCATTCGAAAACGTTCTAGAACGCGGGAGAAAGTTGTTAGAGGTGAAGGAAGGAATGTTTTGAAATCCCTGGAAGGGCGGAGCTAAGATGAAAAATTCATAGCTCTGTTCAAGAACGTTCTAGAACGGTAAGAAAAAGGTTAGTGGCAGCTAAAAGAGGGGTGGTCAAACTCTCATAGTAGGAGGAGTCTGCCCTGAGGGGTCGGAGTACAACCAACTACTAATAATTCTGCTCAGATCAAATATATCGTGCGAATGCCGATCAGCGGTCCCAGCGTTCGAATCTAGAGAGAACTATATAATTCTGATACATCAAATATTCCAATGAATGACCTCATCGTAGAATAGCGATCGTGGATTTACAATGCACGCCTGGTATGAAATATATGTTAAAATCTCGAAAATCACTTTTGACTCGAACACCCTGAGGATACTGGACATGAAAGAAAGAATTTTAGCACGCTGCTAGTGCAATACTTCGCAGAACTGAAATCGGAACCAAAAATCGTCAGTTCTGAGCGCCGACAATGCTCAAAAGACAAATAGTGTGTTATCTATATCACGTATATATCACTCCCACAACTTCTTTCTAAGCGCTTATACTGAGTCCTGCTCGGATACAGATAGTCTGGACCCGAAAGGGTATAAATCCAGGAACCTAGCAATCTCCAGCACATATCCCAGCGAAGGTTAGTAGCCTTTCGTATAACTTCAATAAACTTATCGACAAACAGATCGTCACTGCTCGAGCAATTATTTTGTCAAAATGTCTCATATTGGAGACGTAATAAATTCTTCTGTACACAAGTTTCTTAGAATCTCAAGTAAAACATTCTAACGTTCTGACTCATTGATTATACCATTACTTTTTATCGAAGAAGGCTATGTTTTCTTAGCACTCAATACGCGCTTGGCGGATGTTTAGATGTCTTCCAACGATGTAACCCAGCTTGTGAAACTGAATGATACAGCTTCTGACCTAAAAATAAGTGGTCATTGACGAAAAGGCATGACATGACTGTGACATGACATGACCAGCTTCTAGCAGGAATGGCTGCTTTTATAGTCCGCCGGCCGGCCGGCGTGAGGCAGTGCTAGGGGAGAGGAGGGAAGCAGACAGTCGGCCAGCCCCTTCGAAGGGCTGTAAACAACGAGAGACAAGACCATTTGTTCAAGCCTTTCGTTGTTTGGTCTTTGATCTTTAGATGGTTCAGATAAGAACCAAATCAACTCAGGCATCAAAACGGCCGCTGAAGGTTTTCCTGTTCTCGAGGAAAACAACCCGCAAAAAGCAAAAACTACATCGCTCACAAAACCCGAGCCGTGATTTCATGCATATGAAGCGTCTGACCACTGCTCTAAATTACCGCTGTTAGGGCTGGCGCTTTCATCTCTTAAGTGTTGTTGGCGTTAAGCACTCACCTGGAACCATCTTCGTAACTTCGTTCAGAGGATCGTTTGACCAATTTGGAAAGCAGATTCGAAATCAGAAGCCAAGAATAGGTAGAGCGGTACAAGTCGTATTTCAAATGGCCACTTCGACTTGGGATCCCTACCTGGTTAGCTCCACCCACCTTCGTGCAAACTCCGCTCATTTCAGAGATTTGGGTGCATTCCTCCTACTAACTCTGACCGCATTTTTCATTCTAGAACGGAGTTGCGAATTTTTGATCGTAGCTCCGTCCACTTTAGTGAAAACTCCACCTGCCTCGGAGATTTGCTACCCTTATTCTTATTAGCGCTTCTTCTCCGTTTTCTAAAAAAATTTCGACTAAAATTAGACAAAAGAATATAGTTTTCAAAAACCAGTTTCCATTTAAAAGAAGGTCCCACCCATCGTGAGTGAGCTTCGCCAACTTTATGCGTGACAAACGCGCATGAGGCCTTGTTAACTCCCTTTATTCTTGTTTCTGGTCTCCATGCCTTCCTTGAATCGAGTTATGGACTTGCGTGGAAAATACCGCCTTATACGAGAACGCTCCGCCAACCGCCGGTGAGTCTCCTTCATTTCACTTGTTGATCATCCCTCATCTTTGCTAATTTTTTCCCGGCGTCTGGGCTCATATGGAACCTAAATAAGACGTTTTGTCCAAGACTCCGCCGACTCCTCCGCATGTCTCGTGAGAGGAGCTCTGCCGAGCACAAATGTACCCTGTTGATCTTGACCTATAACCAACCCATCCCAAACTTGATGCGACTTCTGCAAGTGCTACTTCAGGCAATATCGAATTCCAGTACAGACAGGACAGCATGTGAAGTCAGACAAAAAAAATCTGATTTTGCAGAAAATTGCCAGGGCATGCTTACGAGATCAGACATCATATACTGCAGCGAAGTACATTCACAACGTCAAGCAATAGAAATGCTGATTATCATTTCTCAGCGACCGTCCTTATCGGCCTGAGCTTGATTACCTTACATTCTAATTTTTTCGGATCACAAAATAAACGTCGAATTTCGGCTCAAGACAAAGCCTTGCCAACAGCTTTGCGTTTAGGTTCCTCCCCACCAAAGGGGCTACATGTCGCCCTCCAAATTGATGTCTGCTTAGCCGAACGCTTTTGATATATTTAGCGAGTTTAAACATTTGCTGTAATTGCAACGAATTGAAAACAACTTCGATTTTCATACTAATATAAGGCACCCCATTTCAGAGAAATCCATGTGGAAAAGTATTTTTGGTACAACTTAAGCAACGATTGGTAAGAAAAAGGCACAGTATCACATATATGTACATGGTTGCGTGTTTAAACCCTGATCGATGCTCGCTTAGACTAACCAAGCTTTCCATTCTTGAGGGGTCAGTTAATTGATACTGGAGCCATCTGGAAGGATAAAAACACTGGCTGACTGACTACCGCAATTCATTAAGTAAGACATAAACACATTCAGTTCGCCACTGGAACTCCGGATAGAACTCGAAAGGGGGACGAACTCGCAAACAGTGATTAATGCCTACGACTTTTTTTTAGTTATCATTTTACTGTGATAAACGCCAGAGTTCCTTGAGTAGCAAGACATTAGGAAGTTCAAAACAGAAATCTTGTGATTAAACCAACAAAAAGGCGGAAATTGTTTGCATGTGAGATGGTCAAGATTTGAGTCACTGCACTCATCAATGTCTCTTTGAAACTAAGTCCATTGTCACTCTAGCTTTGCATCTTTCTCGGAACAGAGGACATTTCGTGCAAATGAATAAGAACCCATTGAATAAGCGAATGGTTGTGGAAATCAAGACGACCTGCTCAAGTTCAGCTATGAAGAAGGCCCATTTGTTTGGATACAATCGATCAAAGAGCTTCGACAACGGATCTCGCCAGTTGCGACCTCTGCCAAGAACCAGCTCCAAACAACAGCTGGATTGGCCATCCGTGAATAAAGCACTTTTCTAAAAATAAACAGTTGCAACCCTTCCTATATGTCAATCTTAACTTGGGATCGGGCTGAAGCCGTTGTCTGAGGACATCGCTTAAGCATTTAGAAAAATACTCTAAAAATTGTAGGCTCAAGCGGTTAGAATTCAATATCTAAGTATTCAATATCTCTTCCATATAAACGCAGGACTTATGCAGTGAGAGCGCTTTGAAAGTTACCGAATATGGGTTTCGATTGGCTTTTTTCCAAGTAAAAAATAGGGATTAAAACGTATGAAACTGGATTCCGTACCTTCGATAGACTGATCCGATGCAAACCATCTGGATTGAACCCATCGAGAAGAGCAACATCGGGTACGAATGTAATCTTAAGCTCAGCATTGATAGTGACGATTCAATCTCAGTGAAATTAATAGAGAAATTCTTAAAGCTTATGAAATGAGGAAATACTGAAAAGAGGCTCAGAAAACGACGAGAGGATGGCTGAAAAACAGTAAAGGGACTATTGCGTTAAGGTTGAAGATGTGAAATAGGCGAAATAAAAAACGGAACAACTGCGAGATCAAAGAAGCGACAAGGAAAATCGAGGAGTAGGGCAGTAAAAAATGGTTGAAGAAACAAATCAGATCCGTAGCAGGATATGCTATGATATAAAGAGGTAAAAGAAAATGATGTTTTTGAAAGCGGTATGAAAGACAAACTATAGCAGGCGATCGAAACAATGATTAGGCCTTACGCAATTCCTAATCAGTGACTCTTTTCTGGGTACCTGCCGTCCTAAATGCGGTATATCGAGCCGAAATGGCGATTGCGAAAGATCGGGACCTGGGCCAATCGAGCATTCAATGCCATCGAACTCTCCACATAATGCTCCTTGGACCTCTGAAATTTCTTTTTTGAAAATCTTTCGATGTTATTTTCCTCGAAAAAAAAGGGTTCCCTGCACCCATCTTCGTCTTTGTTATTGTTTCACATGTTCAGCAAACTTTTAAAGTCTGAAGGAGCCTGAATGCGTAATGTTGTGTGTCTGCGTGTTGATGTTTCACCTATGCAATGAGTTGCAAGATGAATTTAACCAGTAATTTTATCTTGCTTATCATTCATACAAAGTTTTTGAGACTCAAAAAAGTTGCTCTGTGGTTCGTAGAAAGTGATAGTCAAGGATAACTAAAACAGCTCCGGTTATGTTGAGCTTGCTCGGAATGAAAAAATAAATCTATGAGCTACACGAGCTTAGGCGGTGCCATCCACCCTACCACTGGTCCACCGCACTCCAAGTTTGGCTATAGTAATGATGTGACCGCGAATTATCTAATGAGAAGAATTCAACACACCTCGCTTTAAGATACATGCATGAACGCTCGCCATAAAAAAATAAGTACCGGGTAGAAAAACAGCACCCTATCAAGAGAGCAGCTTCGAAGGAAAACTCTTCAACCAAGGTGAATTTTGTGTGAATTTTGTGAAGTAATAGGGAGGGACTGGCAAACGTCTGAACTGCGCCAATGAGCTGTGTGAGAGCATATAGGCTGACTGAGAACCTTGCATAATTCTGAACTCCTAGAATACGGTTCAGCCTGGAGTCTAAATAGGGCATCCATAAAACATCTGAGGAACTATGAAGAACAGAAACTCCGTTCAGAAAACAATTGGCAACAAAATTGAAGGTTCCATCAATTTTTTGAAGAGGCTTCAGAGTTTACGAATAAGCAGGAGTCAACAAGAAGGNCTGATTTGAAATGACAAAAGAAGTTCTTCTTAAGCCTTCTTTTTCGAAATTGGTGCAAAGCGCAGTAATGTTAAGATGAAGAGCAAAAGTGAAATCTGAGTGGACGACAGTGTAAGAAGAAATTGTTGAACAGAATGTCGCACGCAAGCTTTGGAGACAGATGGGCAGGCAACGTTGGAGCTAAAAATCTAGGCATAAATCGACTATGACCTGCATAATCACAAAATGAAAGACGCTCTTATATCCTGGTAGGTTTGCGAAGATGGAGAAAGCTGCATAATGCATTCATATCACCTGTATCAACTGTCGTCAAATCGATCATTGATCTCACTGAGTGGGTGCTATCATCTCCTTTCGCCCTTGTCGCTAGCCAGAGCAGTCCAGAGGGTATACACCCTGATACACATATGTACATAACATTATTAGCAAGCGACGCCTCAGAAAACGGCATAGCATAGGTTACTAAATCTTGTCAGTATGTCGCCCCTCATGGTAAAAGTGTACACGTTGAAGTGAATACCTTTAGGTATGGCATAAGACCGAAACTGTAGCAGAACGATGAAAGTTAAGAAGATTCCACTAGTATCGCATGCTGTGATGTGATGTCATCATGCAAAAATTCATTCAAACACAGAGGACTCGCCGTTCTTCTAGCTTTTTCTCTGAAGCAAATTATAACTACAGCAATCGAAGGGACGTCCTTTTCCAGTTCGTACTGGCGTTGCGTTTTGTCATAAACGCCACCACTCCCACTCTAAACGCTACAGCGTACACGTAAGCTTCCGCTGGATGTTGGCCTATTCAGGAGAATTTTACTGTTTCTATACTATTCTAAAGCGCCACATTTGAGTCAGTTGTTTCCATCAGAAATCGCTAAGAACATAATCGTTAAAAAGAAGTAGCGTCAAATCTATAGAAAATGACAAAAAGACGAATATTAACTGAGGGAAGATAGGAAAGAAGAAGTAGAAAAGAGGTGGAGGACATACATGACATGACTGGAAAAGAAGCTTATCATCAGGGAGGCGACATCGAGAATAACAGATAAGTCAGATATTTGAAGTCCTAGGAACCAGGAAGAAAATTTTATAAAAAGATATGGCACCCCATACCATTTGAACAGTAGGTATGTAGTTCGAAGTTATACGAGAAGTGTGAAACACAATGGGAGCGGGGGAGTATGAGAAAAAGAGAGAGAGAAAAGCAAAAAAAAAGAAACCGAGGATGAAGCCTTGTCGACGATTCTTCTCAATGCAGTATTTGGAAATGTATTACTTTAAAACAATCTAAGAATTGAAGAAAAGCTTTTGTGCTAGTAGAAAACAGCGACTTGTGCGGTGGACTGCACGTAGGAATTTTAATAATGTCACAGAGCTACAGATCACAGTCACAAATCAATTCCAGAAAGTATGTTCTAACAATGAGTATCGATTGAATTGTAAACTGACCGGGTAGAAGTGCTAGCAGGTCGGCCGCACCGTCCATAGCTTTACAACCGGACTGGGCTCCTTCAGCTCGCGTTGACGGCCGACTCCCCTCCTTGCGCCTCCGACTTTGCCTCGCCCTCTCGGCTTGAGGTGGAGAGTTCTTGGTAGCTTACTATCCAGAAACGAACTCTACTCATCACTTTCTTCTCTTCCTGAGCTGCACTCGCCCCCAAAGAAGTGTTGCCAGTTCCAAAATGAAACTTAATGCAGTTTAAACCTGTCAGGTCTCAAGGGTAGAGTGAGGACCTTATGAGTACGATATTGGAAATGAAAAAAGAGGCTTTCAGCCACTGAACAGCCAATATTCGGCGGAAAAAATTATTCACTGCAGCGCTCAGCGCGGTATCAAGTCTCCCCGCCCCCTCATATTCAGACACGTAGGCTTCCCCACAGCTGTCCAGAAGTGCTGAGCGAATAAACGAATGTTTTTTGCTTGATGACTGTCTAGCCAAAAATTTAACGGTTACTTAACTATAAACAAAATTAATAGCGTACGATTTCTCTAAAATATCCGGGTAAGAATCTTAACAGAAAACAAGACTCACCAATCGAACACATTTCCTGAGAACTAGTCATTATTAATTTTTCTTTCGCTTGATGTGTAAATATCGACGATCTCTTCAAGGAGCTGATGATGCCGTGGAACTTGCGCGCGTGACTGTCCGAGCTGAGTACACTAGTTGAAATCCCTCTAGTGCAAATATGCTTGCTGCTGATTCGAATATAAGCGAAATGTCTCAAGTTTCTATGGCTTTCGAAGCTTAATTGCTACTGCGAAGCTGTCCCTGAAGCTAACTGGTAGAAACAACGAGGCAGCTATTAATTGGTGGACGACAGTACCCACACTCATTGCCCCAAGACCCACAAAAGTGTACAACTAAGTGATCAGGGTTCGTCTTTTTAGCACGCATAAGCAAATGCGGGCGTTGAGGTGAACTGCTGTGTTGAGGCAATTCTTGATAAGAAGCGAATGTAATCATGATAAGCTAGCAGTTTTGTTCATGTTTTTTTATTTTCCGCGAAACTACATATAGTGCCACACTGCTTTTTAGCCCACGTAACTTACGGTAATGGGACTGAACGTCGAACCAATATTTGCTTAGACCAACCTGCTTCCAACGTTACGCGGTTGGTTAATTGACTGCCAGACTTGGGAGGATAAAAGCACTAATTTACAACGGTCAGCTTTTGCAAGCACTGTATGAGCGAATGCGTATTCAAACATGGGCACAATTCCGAATGAAAGTCAACGACGAGGGAGCATCTCCAAAAAGGAACGAACGCCAAAAAACTCCACGATCAAACTCATCGGACCAAGACTAATCTCATAGGCTGGAGAGCTTCACCATTACCGCAGAAAAGCAGCTCTGAGCCATTTGCTCAACAACACCGTTTTGGGTCGGTTCGGAATCCCGTAAATGCAGATGAGTGCCATGACCCAAAACGCACCAGGTACCATGCAACGCAAATTTAAGGCATCTGAAAAAGATTAGGTTTGTGTACTCATTAAAAGACCAATCACTACAACACTAAAGTGATCGACGAATGCACTTTTGCGCTATAAACCGCTGATTTCTTTATTTCTCTCTAAAATGACATCGTCGTATTTTATATACACAAGTCGGTTCGCCCGGCTAACGCCAGGCTTCCCTGTCTCTCCGATAAAGTTGTAGCTATCGGCTAACTTTCTCCTCCATCTTGGAGACAAATAATATTTTCCTGTACATGATGTCTGACACAGGACTTACAGGGCAGTGCATATTGTATACAGTGCGAGTCGGTGCTTACGCTTTTAATTGGGAGTCTTGATCTCCTGCGCTCGCTCTTAAAAATGAATACACATTGAAAATTCAATTTTAGGCAACAAAGGTTCGGGCGGGACTCACAAATGTTTCGAACGATGATAACACATTATCATCAGATGTCGCTGTCAATTGACCTTTTTCTTTCCAGAAATATCATTAAATGGGTATTCCACATAACTGGGCCCAATTATGTTTTGTCGCAAATGATATCGAACAAAAAGGATTCTTCATTGAATCGCAAACCTTGCTGTGTAGCGGTCGCAATCTAGTAGCAAGAAACGAACAGAATTCTCATCTGCTTAGCGAAGTGCCGCTAATGGGTCCTTATCGCTTGTCCTATCGAATGAAACATGATTGAATATTGATCAGCCAAAGCCACATCGCAAATACCGAAGGGTTAAAATTTTGA